ACACGGGGCCGAAGAAGGGCAAAGGGGCCCCTAAGGAGTGCGGGGAGGACGAGGCCCGGACGTGCTGCGGCTGCCGGTTCCCGCTGCTGCTCGCCCTGCTGCAGCTGGCCCTGGGCATCGCCGTAACCGCGGTGGGCTTCCTCATGGCCAGCGTCAGCTCCTCCCTGCTAGTCAGAGACACTCCATTTTGGGCTGGGATCATTGTAAGCATCAAGTCTGTTTTGCCTAAGTGCGTTTGCCAAACAGGAATGCAAAAGCCTAACCCAGCTGCATGCGCCCTGCCCCTCCAGCTCCGCGCCTCTAACTCCCTCTGCTCGGACCGCGGGGGCACGCTGGGTCCCCGGGGGGCGAGGCTGCACGCGGGAGGACTGTGCCCTTGAGCCTTCTGCTCCCGGGCCTCCGGGGGCCCTGGCGAGAGCGCTGGAGCCAGGGAGGGGTCTCAGCTCTCAAGGGCTGCTCGCTGGGGTCACACTGAACAGCCTCAGTGACAACTGCAGGTTCTCTCGCGCTATTCCGGACCCCTTTCTCCTGGCCCCACCCTTGACCCTAAATGAGCAAAAGCCGAAGTAAGTTCGTATGTTAAAAGCAAGTTGGGAAAACGCCTGTATTTGGCGTTGACACACTGGGTAGTGTTAGTCTTGTGAAATTGAGGGTCCATTAGAAGGTTCTATGAAATCACATTCTAAGGCTGGAACTGCGAAGCTCTAACCCACCGGGTTCTAAAGTGAGGTACAACCAGGGCGCTGCCCATGGCAGAGGTCTATTTGGGACTCTGCTAATGGATGTACCGTTCTGAGCAGAACAGTGCTCAGCTGTTAGGAGAATGGGTGTTGGAACACTACCACACTTGGCTTTATCAGATGAATACTTTAACGTAAAATGGATGCCATTTATTGAGCACTTACTCTGTGCCTGCCTTGCTAGAGGCCGTGCAGATGTTATTTGTAATTCCCACCTCATCCTTTGTGGGCGTACTTCTTTTCATTTTTCAAATGTGTGAACTCAAGTAAGACTTATTCAGGTCCAGGAGAAAGACAAAAAGGCACAGTCAGCTCCTTCTACAATTTCCTGCTTGGGGTACGTGGCCACCCACTACATTTGGTTTTACAATGCTAAGACCATGTTGTATTACAGCGCCTTTGGCTTACTGAACTCTGAAGTGCATTGTTTCATTTGATCCATGAAACAATGCTTTTACCTAAGGAAAGAAGGTAGAAGAAGGTACATGTCATTCTCAGACCCAGACCGTGAAGGTGGCAGAATTTGGAGAGACTAGAATTGGTACCTCAGACTGCTGGTCTCACTTGACATCATTACTGCTCTTACTGACCGCTGGAATTATAACTCATAAAACAACCCTAGAAATTTGAATCAGGGCAGACATTAGAGACACCTGGTAAACATGCATCAATGCAAGTATTTTCTAATTAAGATTATTTCAATTCACAAATGCTGGCAGAGTAATTTAAAACTTTTAATTTGTGTGCTAAGAAGTCCCATGAAATTATCATGATTGGTGTTTTCCAAATCAAGTAATTTTAAAAATAGCTTTTCACTAAGATATACTATTTTAGTCACCTCAATGACTGTTGACGTACTCAGGGGGAAAATATCTGTGCTTAAAGGCTAGGCAAATTAGAAGGAAAAAAAGGAATGAAACTTTTTGATTCAGTGTTTTTGAGCATCATTTTTTAGTGTGTCTCCTGTCTTTTATTTCAACTTCAAAAAGCCCAATACCAAAGAGACAAATTAGAAGGAGGGAAAATTAATTTTAATGTTTAAGACATAACATACAAATTGTGAGGTTTCATGAACTAAAGTGCTGGTGGGATATATGTTCCTAATTGCCTGGGATGTGGTACAAGGAGCATTTTATACAGCCAGGTCTCTGTTCTTTCTGGTTTTCTTTTCTATAATCCAGGCTTCATTTGAAGTTGGCTCACAGTGTGTTGCCCTGGTGGTATCTATAATCTTGAATTGTCTCTCAACAGAGAATCTACATAGAGCAGGGTAGCCGGCAGAGATGACCTGAAACTAGCAAGGGGGTCCCTGAGAAGTCAAGCCAGGAGCACTGTCCTTCCAACGTGTCCCTGCCTCACACAGGCACCGTGCTGGCCCTCACTGTGCTGTCTGTGGTTGGTCACAGGCACCCTTCCAAGTTTTCAGGAAAGAGAGGAGACAGGGAGGGAGATGGCAAAATGCGGATGTGAAATCATTTTACTCGGTGCTGGACTCCAACTCGGACTTTACTTGCTGAATAACTTTGGGAAGGTTACTTAAAATCTCAAGGAATTAATTTCACATTCATTTCTTTATTAATGAGATCAGAATGACTGGGGTTATTCTGAGGATTAAATAAATACATGGGAAGCTCAGAGAATAGTACCAGCTGATGGTGAGCGTGCAAGGAGTCGGCTCTTTGTATTAGCTGTTAGTGAAGCAATCATGGGTAATGGCATTCTTCAAAGCTAGAAGAAATAGTTCCACTTCAACGGTAGTTTTGCAAATAGTCATTTCAGATTCATTGCATTTCCCAAGACCAGTGTGAACCTAGAAGAAGATATCAATGGCCATCTCACTTTCTCTTTTTTCAGCCAAGTCACTATTTAGCAGTCTTAATGGTATTAGATTAGTCCAGTACTGTACTTTCTGAGTCTCTCTGGCGGGCTATAAAAATGAACTTGGAGGAGAGGGACCTCCTGAGGGTCCTTTTCCCTTTTGGGTCTAGGGCGACTGTGGTTTCATATATCCTGCGGGGAGTCCTGAAAAGTTCATCCTGTGCAGGTCTAGAGACCCGCTAGACCAAAGCAGTATAGGTCGTTGCATGGAGGCGGAGGCAGAGCCACACCCATTTCCGGAATGTGGGCCGACTGACAAACCCACACCAGCTGCGACTTCACGCGCTTTTCCTTTTACTTACCTTTAATCCAGTTGCTTCTTATCCTATCATAATCTGTTTAATTTTCCAGTGCTGCTGGCCCATTAATTTGGGATTTGGGGTTTACATTCCCATAACACAACTTAGATGTCTGAATAAATCCCTTTGGTAGGAAATATCTTTCTGGTTGGCCAAGGCTTGGGTGACTTGATAAGGGTTCGGTGACCTTCTGCTTACAGACTAAAGAGGCCCTTGGTGATTTATGACCAAAGATTTAAGTCCAGGGACATTTTAGGAAAATGACTAGATTATGTTTTTTTAACTTGTCTTCCATGTTTAACCTCTCCATTCACTCTCAATCAGAGAGAGGCCTGAGGTCTTTTTACTTCAGTTACAAAAAGTTGCTCTAAATCGAAAGGAGAAAAGAAAATGGAGCTGCTATGGAGACCATGTAGTTGTTCTTCGAAATTCTTTATAGATGGTTGGAGGGTTACATCACACAATGATGATAATATAAAGTCAAACAGCGTCTGTGAAGATGGATTGGCCAAGGACAGGGATCTCAGGAAGTAGAAGCTTGATCTGCATTTTTTTCCTATGATTTGAGTAGCTGGATCAGATAGGCATCGGAGTGTGGTCATCATTCCAGAATACTTACTGATAAAAAAATATGTATAGATTAAAAGACTCTAAGAACTTTGGGGATTTAATTTGCTTTCTACTCAAATGAATTACAGTTCTGGTTTGTGTAGAGCATGTTTAAACTTGGCTCATTTTTCTTCATTCTTTAACATTTCTCCAGGGTGTCCCCTGCACTCAGCATTAGTTTAAAAATATCGAGTCATGTACCTGGAGGAAATCTCCAGGTCCTGATGGACATGTGCCCTTATCATATCTGACAGTAATGAATACTACTCATTAGAAAATTTAACCTACACAAATATTTTTAAAGCCCATTTACCTTTCAAAGTATTTCACTTGCAGTGATTTATTTGCCTTGGCATGGCTGCCCTGAAGTCAATTTAAGAGCAAACTCTTGTTTCTTCTCTCCAGTGGGGGTTTAGTATTTTCTGGTGTCTTAGCCCTTGGAGGCAATGTTCTCATGGGAAGTGGGAATTCTTTGCCTTATTGTGCTCTTAGTTTTTCTTTCTTCTCCCTCTGCTGTTCCTACACCCTTCCCATTGGAATAAAAACTCTGAGATACATATCATATTAATCACTCAATAACATTTAAGGTAAGGGATTAAAAAAAAGGGAAATGTATTTTCTTTTCTTAGTATCACTCATAAAACTCATCATCTGATTATGTGATGATTAAAAGTCCTGTCAAGAATTTCAATAATATATAATAATTTATTCTAAGAAATTCAGAATGCAGGTGTATTCAGATTTTTAAAAGCTATTTTAAGTTTTAACTTAATACAAAGAAAAATTGAGTAATTATTTTCAAACAGAATATACTATAAAATTTTCAAGTAGACCTATGACATATAGCAAGTAAGATCAACTATTGTTATTATCCATAATTTATAACTGGAAAGCGTAATACATGATGATTTAGCAAAATAGTTATGGAGAGGAACTGGAAGAGAGAAGGGTTTGGTATTGAAGTTCGGACAGACACTTTGATAAGTCAAGAAGCTGACAGTGGTATAAATATTCTATTGGGTGTTTCAATATTTGAAAAATTAAATTTAGAATTATATTCTTAGGAATACACTGCCTCATAATTTTTTATTTTTTGTATTGAGACTTTAATATGCTTCCAAACCTAATAGAGAATCCCATGTACCACTGGGAAATATTTTTTCTTACAGCAAATACAAATTTGTTAAGAAATGAGGAATGATAATCACATGGCCTGACTTAATCTCCATTGGATATGAATAATAGATTATGGCAAGAAAATTATCTTATAGGCATATAAAATTCTCATAGTAAGTATAAAAATGGAATGTAGTTGACTTAATTGGCAAAAATTAATTTCAATGAATATATGAAAACAAAATGGAACATTCAAGAATTGGTGAAAGTTTTCCAAAAGAATTTCAGGAATAGAACAAGGAATATTAAGATTGGACAAAATTGTTAGATACTCAAAATCATTGAGCAAGTCATGTTTTCACCTCTTCAATGTCAGATATACAAAGGCCAAAGGAGTGCTTATATAATGAGAAAGTTGTCCTTGAATATGATTTCTTTATTTAAAAAACAAAGGGGAGATGAGGGCAGATCCTGATATGTTTAAATTCTGTATTGCAGATATATTCAACTCAGAAAGTTAACTTAGAAAGGTAATGTATGGAAGCTTCTGACATGTCAATC